CAATCCCAAGGGTGCTACGAGCCTCCCAAAGTGGCTGGCTGACTTCACAACAGGGAAGACCGTGAAGGAAGAATGGGAAGGGAGAGGGGTGGGGAGTCTCCCAGTCTAGGCAATGAACAAGCACATTTGGCAAAGGCAGCCAGGAAAGAGAGCCTGGTCAGGAAGGAAAGAAGCTGTCTGGGTGGCAAACAGCAGTGGGAGGAAGTGGAAGAGGGGAGGGGGGCAGGGTCAAGGTAAGCAGGACAGACAAGGACAGCAGTGCAGGCAGGTGGGAGAAGGGACTGACTCTGAGGTGCTGAGGTCTGAGCGGAGACTAGGCCTGGGAGCGATCAGAAAGACCTGGAGAGTGTGGTGAATATAGCAGAGAAATGCCTGGGGCAGGAAAAAGGAACTTCTGGGGGCCATGTCTAGGTAGGTCAGGCAAAGGGCTAGGAGACTGCTGGAAGGGTATGGAGGAAAAGGAAGAGAGAAGCAGATGCGCAACAGGGTGCACCAGCCAGTGCCAGGAGGTGGGACTCTCCCCTAAATGCCCGGGGCAGCACCCATTTGGTATTTAGCAGGCCATGGGTTAGCCCTGAGCTCTGAAAGGACCTGGGAGCTGGCTACCCAACGGAAGCACAGGATGCTTCTGGAGCAACTCAGTGTCTTCAGGAAAATACATGTCAGTTGACGATAACACACCAAGAGGGCATTGTGAGGTATCTCCAAAGAAGAGGAGGAAAGTTTGTCACTGGTGAGCAAACTGGCTGCCAGACAACATGCGCATCAGGGCCATCACGTAGGTGACAGCAAGTTGTGTCTTTATGGGTGCATGCCATTAGGGGATGGAGAAGGGAGAAGAACTGGGTATGAGCGTTTTGCAAGCAAGCCCCTAATGACTGACAGAGGAACCTGGCAAGCAGTCTCTCTCTCTTTCTCTCTCGTTCTTTCTCTCTCTCCACACACATACACACCATTCATATTTGATCTCTCCAGAACCCTAGATCTAGTGGCAGGATGACAAGGGACAGAAGCGCAGATGCAATGACTCCCTGGGAAAGCAGGGAGCACAGCGCATGGCATAGGGCAGGCAGCAATCATAAGAGGAAAGGACAAGGAGGGAGAAGAGGAAGGGGAGGAGAGGCAGGCTTGCAGGAAGAACTGTGCAAACTTGAAGGGGCACAGAGCACATCATTCCACCATGCTGCTTGGCACTCCCTTTGGATCCTGGGTTCAAACAGAACAAATCAACACAGACACTTAGGAGACAGACCTGGGGAACAAACTCTAGCACGGGATCTGATCATGTTGGGGCATGACTGAGGATACTCACTGAGATACAAAGAGATGTCAGATATCTATGAGCCCTGCTCATGGAGAAAACCTGGTCCCAAAGTACTCAACAAGCACGATACCTCGGAGGAGGCAGGATTATGGCAGGTGGCCCCAAGGTGCCTTGTGTCTTGGGCCTCGCTGATTAGCACGGTGCCTGACCCTTTGTGGAAGGGACATGAGGAAGATGGGATGTGCTGGTTTGGAAGGGAAGACCAGTAGCTTGGATTGCACTACGTTGAATGGTACCAGATGTGGCTGTTATTACCTTAAATGACCTTTAGGGGATAAGGGAGTTCCTTTTGGCAAACGGTGGTAAAGTTAAGATGCTGGCTTAATTGGATACATTTGATTAGCTCCCGTTCATTTGATTCTGAGAATCAGCTTTATGAGGCCTCCTGTGGAGAAAGTAGCGGTTCCCCTTCCCCCACCCCACCCCATCCCACCCGAGTAAGGTTAGATGTGCGCACTCCGCTCCCCACTTTCCTGAATCAGAGCCTCTCAGCTAATTGGAAATTCCACTGAGGCTCAAAAGGAAGAGCCGCTGCCACTGCCAGCCAGCTGCTTTTCAACCTTGTCTTCCCTGGCGAGGTCCAGTGACACCCATCTCAGCAGCCATTGCCCAGGGAAGGTCGGCCAAGACTCTGGGCGCACACCGCTCTTCCCAGGTTACGCTGACTCCTCATTGGTCACTTCTGGGAAGCTGGGAGAGTTCTGCTTTGCCCACCAACTTGGGGCCAAGGGAATTTGAGGATGCAGTGCCACGGGGCTCATGGACCTAGAGCAGGCATGGTGGGCAGCGGTTCACAGAGGAAAGCCTGGGTGGGGCAATGCCAGTGTCAGGCACCCCAAGTGCCCCAGAAGCAGAGATGTGGCTCCTCCCTGGGCCCCACTCTCCCAGCTGTCACCTCTCATTGCCCCCAGCTCCTGCCTCCCCTCAGATCAGCCTGCAGCCAATGCCAGTCTTGGCTGCTGCTCCACACTCCTGCTGGTTCAGGCCCTGGTCCTGTATTCTCTCTCCTGCTGTCCAGCACATCACTTCCAGGAAGTCCCTGTTCTGCTGGTCCAATTGGAATAAGCCTCTCTGGTGCCCAAAGTGCCTCTGTGATCACACCTACCCCCGACTCAAGGCATAACAGCAGCCTGCTCTTCCTAGCCTGAACTGTGTGAAACACCAACAACTGCCCAATCTGAACTACACAGTTAACACAGCTGCCCAACCACCATCAGTGTCCTGTGATCTCTAAACCCCTGCCTTCAAGGGGTAGCCACCATCTTCATTTTTAATTCCATAATTTGGTGTGGTAAGTAATTTTATGTCACCCTGACCAAGCTCTGGTAACCAGTTATTTGTTCAAACACTAACCTTGATACTGATGTGCAAGTATTACACAGATATGATTAATATCTATGATCATTCACTCCCTAAAGGAACCTCATCCATTTGATTGAAGGCCTGAAGATTGAAAACTCAGATTTCTACAGCAAAGAGAAGGAATTTTGCCTGTTTCTTTTTTTAATTAGGATTTATTTATTTATTTATTTATTTACATTGGAAAAGCAGATTTATAGAGGGGAGAGACAGAGGACAAGATCTACCATCTTTGGTTCACTTCTCAAATGACCACATGGCCAGAGCTGAACTGATCTGAAGCCTGGAGCCACCAGCTTCTTACAAATCTCCCACGCAGGTGCAGGGCCACAAGGCTTTGGCCATACTCTACTGCTTTCCCAGGCCATAAAGAGGAAGGATGGGAAGGATGGGAAGTGAACTGGTACCCGCATAGGATTCCAGCCCTTGTAAGGTGAGGACTTAGCCATTGAGTCACCATGCTGTTGTTGTTATTATTAAAAGATATCTAGAGACAAGTCCTTGGAACCAGGGAAGAAGAGACAGGGACAAGGGACAGGGAGAAGAAAAGAGACCAGAAAGGAAGGTCCTCAATGGAAGACCCTGTGTGATCCCTAAGCACCTTTAAGGCACAGAGAGGCCATCAAGTGGCCAGGTAGAGGCCACAGGCTTGCTTCTCAGAACTTCCACACCCATCCCAATATTCTCTCCACAGCTGACCACAAGTCATGCTTGCTTTGACTCCAGTCCAAAAAAAAAAAAAAAAAAAAGAAAGAAAGAAAACAAACAACCTTCGTGTTATTCTTCCAAGACGCCGCCCAGCTCAAGTCTAGCCAACCTATACAAAGCCACTCTTGGAAGGTTCTAGTGTAAGTGTTTCTGTGGATGGTCTCACACGATGCTCTTGGGAACCATTCTCATACTCCCACTGTGCAAACAACTTTTTCCAGGAGTTAAATATCATGTTGACTGCTACATACGGACCAGGGCCATAGCCCAGCATCACATCCCCACTAAAAAGACAGTCTTCTTTCCACGGGGAAGGCAGGCAAGAAGGGTCCTTTTGCCTCTTGGTCTTCCGGCACATGGCTGCTAGTCCTTGTTCCCACTGGGCTCCAAGTCCTCCCCTTGGGCCTTGTAGCCTTCCTCCCATTCCCCCAGTAGGCTCACACGCACTTGGTAGAACACCAGAGAATGAAACCACAAGGCCAACTCAAGACACAAGGCCAACAAGGAGAACCAGAGCTGCAGCCTGTGTGAGGGGAGCTCCAGTTCCAGTGGCCTGAGGACAAGATGGACCCACTGCCAACAAAACCCTCTCTTAACCCAAACCTCTGAGAACCAACTTCTTCAGGTGCAAATGGACACAACTGCCAGAAAATGGCACTATGAGATGCTTGAAGTCAGCAGGCATCAGCAGCAGATGACTCACTCGAGCATAGTCATTTTACATGGGGGCTTGGTCTTGATATCAAAACACATTGGGAACAGTGAATATGGCTTCTTTACATCCTCTCCCATTCTTGTGTTTTTGTCACCGGCATTCACGTGGTCTTGTTTCCAGAACAGAATCTATGAGATCTGCAGCAAACACAACTCCCCACATCATGCCAATAACATGGCAGCAAGAAGTTAAACATGCCATCAGCAGGGAGACCCCTGGGAGAGGGTCTGCACAGCAAACAACACCCACCAAGACACCCCATTGCAAGACCATCGCCCTCTGCCCATGCCCCCTAGTGACAAACAGGCCATTGCCACCTGGAAAAAGTCTGGCAGGGTTTCTAGGCTGCCTTTCCACTCCTGCCTTCTCGTAAGAACGGCACTCCCAAAAGCAAATGAAATTCTAACTCTGATGTCACCTTCTTAAAGTGAGCAATGCTCAACGTCACGGCCACAGGCATGCACCCATGTAAGAAACCCTTCAGAACTGATGCAATATGGAAGAAACAAGAAGAACAGTAAAACACACACATCAGAGCCTTGACAAGTCCCATATTGATATTTCTCCTTTCTTGATTAGTTTCAGGCCCTTCACTTATCTTTCTTATTTAACTTCCAATGTACTCCAGAAAAGTTCAACACAATAGTAGGAAGAATAACTGGAATCAGTGTTCCTCCATTATGTTAAAAAAAAGCCCAGTCAAAAAAAAAAAAAAAAAGTACCACCGACTACATCTGAAGACACAACAGAACTCAACATGCTTTCTATCCTGAGAAAACAACTGTTCACAAAAACACCAAAAACCAGCACAGCACAGCACCCTTGGCCCTCCTGCAGACTGTAGCAACAACCAGATCCAGCACCACGAAGGCAAGTGGAGGGTGGGGCACTTACAGTTGAAGATGCCTGGAGGCGGATGCTCGGTCACCAGGAGACAGTTCTCTTCATCACTGTTGTCCCCACAGTCGTTCTGTTGGTTACAGACCAGCGAACCGAGATATAAGCATTTACCGCTGGTGCAGGTGAATTTGCACTCTGAAAAAGTACAATAAGTAAACACGGAGCAGTCAGTGCAAGCCAGCATGGTGCTCTTGAGTTGAAATTGTCAGTGTACTATCACTCCGCCACACCATATCAACCCACAACACGTGCAACACTGCTGCTTTCTTTCCACTGCCTGCTCGGCGTCAGGCGTGGCTGGGGAGCTGTGTTGCTCTGTTGGAAGACATCCCTGATGGCTTCCCGCCTTTCCAAGGAGGCAGGGAGTCTGGGCAGCAGCAGCAGGGACTCAGGAAAACTCAGGAGTATGGCTTGGCTGGAGAAGACTCATAATCCTGATTTCTAATGTGCCACTATCTTGTGGCGAAAAATCTGGGCAAAATTGTGGTGTTCAGTGAGCTCATGATTAAGAACAGCTAGGTGCAATGCCAGGCAGGGGTAGGCATTCAGCCTATATTGTTTAACACAGCATTCCGCACCACCTAAGAAACCGTCATGCCGAGCCACTCATTGGAGCATTCTAGAAATAGGATGAGGCCCACATCCAAGATCCTGTATGCTTCACTGCACACAGGGCCTCTGAAATCTGTATAGATCAACATTTGGAAATAAAATTCTCTTTCAGAGGACTTCAAGTTAACAAATGAACATACTATCAATGTAAGCAACTGAAGATCAAAGGAATGACACAATTCTACACATGAGGTACCAAAAGTGTCTATGTCTATTTAACAATGCACACTTGGGCCTGGTGCGGTGGCACAGTGGTTAAGGTCCTCGCCTTGCACGCCCGGGATCCCATATGGGTGCCGGTTCTAATCCCAGCAGCCCCGCTTCCCCATCCAGCTCCCTGCCTGTGGCCCAGGAAAGCAGTCGAGGACGGCCCAAAGCTTTGAGACCCTGCACCCATGTGGGAGACCCAGAAGAGGCTCCTGGCTTCGGATTGGCATAGCATCGGCCGTTGTGCTCACTTGGGGAGTGAATCATCAGACGGAAGATCTTCCTCTCTGTCTCTCCTCTCTGTATATCCGCCTTTCAATAAAAATAAAATCTTAAAAAAAAAATAATGCACACTAATTTGCATTCTGACCAGCACCATTTTCCCCAGAGCACCCACTAGCACTGGTAGGGCCCACATACATAGCACATGACACTCAGTACTAGATGGAGCCTCAGGGAGAGTCCAGGTTCCCCATCAATGTGGGGGAAGCACAGCTTCTTCAGCCTTCAGAACCCTACAACAGCAGTGGTAGCCCTGGATGCAGTCCTGGGTGCTTTTAGCTCCAGCCCTTCATTCTCCAGCTCGAGGACTGGACAGCATCTGCACACAGAGGCCTCCTCCAGCTGTGCAATCCCCGAATGGGGTACACTGCAAGTCTGCTCTTACCCTGAGGGATATGGGCACCCCACTATCCTTCTATATACTTCCGATGGGGATTCATAGCTCAAAATCAAACTAAACACTCTGCCCATCACACATAATTTTTTGTGAAGAGGATTTGAGTCCGGGGGTGAGGGGGGTGGAGATTTCTGCCTATGCTTGCAATGGAGTATTGCAACGTTCAAGAGTTCACTTGTCCAGAGAGAGAAGAGAAAAAGCAAGCAACAGAAGCTTCCTGCCTGGCTTCTACCCCCACGTGGGCACAGCCCGGGAGCACATCCACCAGCACAGGGGAGAAAATCTGTGCATTAGGTGTGACCAGGCCACATGGGAGAGGCATGGCTATAGCTACACTCGCCTGTCCTGTGAGGCAGGAAGACAAACTCCAGCTCTCTGAAATCACACTTAAGAAGTGGTTTTGTTTTCGTTTTGGGAAAACATAATGGGAAAAAGGAAAGGATGCCAAGGAAAGAATTTATCTTACTTCCCAAAGGAAGTACTGGGCTTCTGATTAATCCCAAATACAAAAAGGATGTCAGCCCAAACCAGACACTTCTGGTGTTACTGAGATGATGATGAACTGGACTATAGCTGAAAAGCTGACCACTGGTCCATCTGAAAGACTCTGCAGTCAGATGACCACATTTGATCTTTATGCCAGTGGAAATGAAGTGGCATCCAAACTTCACTCATGTCAACTTGTTTGAAGAAAACAGATCTAGAGTAACACCGATTTTCAAGGGAATAAATCATGTGATTCATGCATTCCTATAACCAGCACGGACGCACTGTAGCCCCTTCTGCATTATGTGGCAGGTGGCGAGGCATGGGCACGCAAAGGAGGTAGCCCTCTTCACAGCCTTCACAACATGAAAGCGCAATGCTACTTATTACATGTGCTGACCCCTTCCAGGGCACACACCTTCATTCCTGGGGTCCTTCCCGGCCAGGCTGTTCCCCAGCTCCTAGCTGGCTCTCAGGAAACCACAGATTCATTGAATAAATGAATGACCTAGGTTAAGTCTCCTAAGGAATACTGTGAACAAAAACTAGGGTGAATGCTGTCATTCCCGTTTTAGCCCCCTTCTACCAGGCCAGATCTGTTCTCATGAATGTGTGAGATGCAAAGATGTCCACACCTACATAACCAAATTCTCAAAACAGCATACTAACAAAGTAGCCTTACCAAGATCCAGAAAGCAGGACTGAATTTCTAGAAAGCTCTTTCTCCTAAGCAAGTGGTACTATTCACCCCAATTCATAGCACTTCAGATTCATAAACTCTACATCCTGTCAACGGAGAATCAGTAGCTCAAAATCAAACTGAAGAGTCTGCCCATCACACAGCCATTGAAATCCAACTGATTCGACTGAAAATTTGAATTCGTTGGTTTCTTGGTATGATACAGAAAATCACTATAATGCTATCAAGTGTTAAAAGTTAATGCCTAAGCCAGAATGAAACTACAGACCACAGTAAAACATCTATTTAAGTTATCGAAACTGGTGCCGGGAGAGGCAAATGCCAAGCTGATCCCAATTCACCCTTGAAGGCCATCTTCACCATGGTGTGTTATCCAAAGCTTAATGCTTTTGGATCAACTGCAGAGTAGGTTATCACGTACTTCAAACAAATTAATAAACCCAGAAGAAAGGCTCTCACCTCAGGCTGCACCTTGGATCTACCTGGGCATCTTTCAACACTACTGATGCCTGGGTCGCGGCCAAGGCCGCTCTGTTAGCTCTTTCAGGGGCAGATCCTGATAGGCAGCCAAGATAGAAAACCACGGGCTATTGAGAAGTAGATAACTCAAATATATTGAGCCTTCTGGTTAGCCAGTATTACTTTCTGGGAAGGTTTAATTGGCACGTTTTTTCCTATTTTTTTTTTAACATAAGAAGATCAAGGGTTGCTACTGTTGATGTCGGCATCCCGTATTGGAGCAGTGGTTTTAGTTCTGCCTGCTCATCTTCTTCTGTCCAACTTCCTGTGAATGAAGCTGGGAAGGTAGTAGATGATGGCCCCCAAGTGTTTCGGCCCCTATCATTCACGGGGAGACCTGGATAGAGTTTCTGGCTTCTGGTTTTAACCTGGCCTGGCTCTGGTAGATGCAGTCATGTGGGGAATGAACCAGGAGACATAGGCACCTCTCTCTCTGTCACTCTGCCTTTCAGATTAAAATAAATAAATAAATAAATAATAAAGGACTAAGCTTGTCAAAACAGGCAGAAATTTAGCTAACTTCGGGATACAGTAACTCTGCTACATCCCCGGAATATGTCAGAAACCCACACAAATGCAACTTTGACTCCTCTAGTCAAGATTTTGTCCATAAAAATCCAGGAAACAGCCTCCACAGAGTAAAACTGAAGTCAGCGAAAGAAGATCCAAGAAGAAAGAAAGTATGTATTCTTACAACATTCTTTTTCCCCGTTCTTTGTGGAACTTGTCACCTATTTCGGCTAAGTCACAAGCTGAGGGAAACGAAGGTCTGTTCACCATCAGAATCCTGTTGATGACAAACTCATGCTGCTTTCATGAGTCGGACACTGGAACGGAATGCCGAGGGAATGACCCTCAGGAGCCAGAGATGAAAATCACTCGGAATATTTAACCAGTTCTTCTTCAAAACAAAGTTGAGACTTTCATGAACAAAATGGCATTCCTTTCTGCCAGAACCTCCATTGCATTTCTCGGGAAAACCTGCCAGGATCAACTCCTGCATACGCTTCTAGGAAAAGAATTCTCTCCAAATCTGCAGACTCCTTTAGCTTCTCCACATTTCCTCTTAAAACTCCTGATGAAGCTTCTGGTGGACTGTCCCAGTCCACTTCTCACGGCTGAGGACACAGACCAGCGTGGGAATCCTGAGCTGCTGAAAGTCAGAGGCCAAAGTCCCCTTATGCACAGGAAAACAACATCGCCACAAACCGAGATACAAAATCCTTTTTGTCTGAATATCATTCCAACCAGCGCAGGCTGACACTGACTAGCTGGGGCCTACCAAATGAGAGAAGAGAAAGGAAAAGAATGATTAAGAGCTAGAGAATTTCCAAATATTTTGTTAACCTTTTGGGGGAAAAAAAAAAGGAATTTTAAGAGTTCAGAATCCAAGAAATAAATGGAACATTCCAGGGTTTTCTGTGAATTCCAAACTTATATACTGAAATTGGGTGGTTTTTTTCTTCTTCTTTTTTAAATCAAAGACCAGTAGCTTAACCGTTTGAATGTTTCAGATCTAAACTTGGACGGAATTCTAAGATCTATGCTCCATTTTCAATTCCAGGAGAACGAATCTGCCTGGCAGAGGCTAAATTTAATCCACTTGGTAGAGTCAACATTCTATTAGTTAAAAGGCAACACAAAGTTGTTCTCAATTTTTCCTACACTCTGCTAAAGCCTCCGTTTTCACAGATACGATCTCAGTCACAAAATAAGGACCTATATACAGCATCCCATCTCAGCTGTAAAATCAGCCTCTCTCGTGAATTGGCAAAGCAGTCCATGTTCGTTATTTCTGTTGAAACTCACATAGCGACACTGACTCATTCAGTTCACACTTCTATCATTCACAAACCTGAAGGCTGAGAGTAATTCTGCCTCCATCATTTCTGACACTGAAGTTCCGAACCTGCCTTAGTAACGGGACCTGCT